ACTTGACGCATTCAAAGAGTATTCAGTTTTCTCACTTCTAAGATATATGAGAAACCCTGAGTGAAACAGAAGCACGATGGATACCGCCGTAACACTCTAAATCCAAAAATTACGCTAGATCGATTTTAGTATCCTTTATAATTAAACCTTAAAATTTAGTTTTAAAGTAAACCGGAGTAGTTTACTTAGCAGTCAACACCGTCTTAAACACAAACTACGTAGGAATTCGATAAATATAAGTGAATGATCCCAAGTATTAAAAAAGTTACATGCTCTACTATTAGAAAATAGGGAATGCACCAATTAAGTTAGGCGACCCTCACTTGGTCACTTAATCCAACGGACGTGGAACCTACACAATATAACATAGAAACTCGTTGTCGATTGGTTCAGAGGTGTCTGGTACTGAACTTGGTAGGGCGGACTATGGTCTGATCCCCCGCAACTTGAAATAGGGTGAATTAAAGGAGGTTACCACATATATGTTCCAGAACCTCGTGCTTAAAAGGATCATATTCACTAAACTGTACTCTACTATATGCGTGTAAAGATAAAGGGCTTAATGTGATTGCGCTAGAATGAAAACGGGTGAAATTTAGCGAAAAGAATTAGGTTGAGCTATAATGGCATGACTGGAATTGGTCTGTACAGTGGGGGTGTTTAGTGTTATTATTGTATCTTTAGTGTTATGTTGAGCTTATGTTTCCGCAAAAACATTGACACAACCTCTTACGATTCGATTTGTATCATGTATTTGCATTTAACTTGTGCTCTATTAATTTTTATACTAACTATATTGCTTGAGGACAATCAAAGGTTCAAGCTTAGGGGAATTTGATAACACGAAAAGTTATAGTATTTTTCGTCCGATTTAAATAGATAAAGCTTCTGATTCTTCGTTTATTATATCACATTATGTCCTTATTTGTAGTATTTGCAACATATTTCAGGTATTTAGTCTCTATAAAGCTTACATGAAAAAAGGAAGAAGAATATTGAAGAAATGAAGAAGAAATGACACTTTAGCAGCAAAAATGAAAATATTATGTATCAGAAGCCATGCCTCCCGTCAAAAAGTTCAAAAGTGTGCCCCTCGTCACACTACTTGTCTTAACCGACACATAATGAAAATACGTGCCCTACGCCACAACGCATGGCACTCGTTACAAGTCAATATTTCATTTACGGAAATGTCTCCATGAAGCACATGATTTGCTAAAAATTCTCCATGATTGAAGAACGAGGATCAAGGGAGTATTCATATTTTTTGCTCCGCACATTGAATCTATAAAACCAAGACAGTTACTAAAAAATTTTACGTTCACGCACCTGCTTAAATTTCTTATTTTTCTGCATAATGCAACATTGTTATTTTATTTTTCAGTTTTACATTTTTTGATATTTTTCCAGTTTTGTTTAGAATTTCCGTAAGCAAAGAAAACCATTACCATTAAAGAAATATTTCTTCACATCGGAGGAATATTGCAACTTTAGTTTCTTTCTAGCTTTTAGAATTTCGTTTAGGTTTATTTGTATTTGTCAAGATATTTTGTTCCGAAGCTAATCCTTCCGGCTTGTGGAGGATAGCATACTACACAATTATTCTTCAATGTTTTATTCCAGGTTCCAATTTTAAATATAGTATCATTCATTTTTACGATGCCTATGATATTGAATGTATGTTTTTATTTTATGTTATCACGCCATAAAATCATATTTGGCTAATTTTCTCGATACCGGTATGTGAAGTCCTAAATCGAAGGGATTTGATAATTTATTGACATAAATATTTTACAAAATCACGTTGCAAAAAATTTGTCACCCGCTTCTCAATCACGTGATTGTTCACGTCGCAAATTAATTGTTATGACATGATTTTTCACGTTGTGACATGAATTTCACGTCGCAAATAAAGATTTTTTTTTTAGTGAATTGTGCAAACCAACTTCATCAACAATTCATTTATTTTGATCAAATTGTTATAATTTTAATTTAATGGTAACTATTTAACCTTCTCATCTACATTTAATTTCATTTTGTAAAAGCATAGATCCTGATGACTTTTCAACCGAAACATAGTGATAAGTGAGAGAGGAAAGTTGATTTCATTTTGTATTCTCAACAAAATTGCATAATCACTTTAAGACGAGAAACAGTGGCAGTTTGACAAGTATAATGAACCTTCTGAGAACTTTCCAAATGGAGAAAACGCAAATAAAAAGGTGACACCACAAGTATTTGAAGAAAAATATCATACGGCAGGAAATCTATCCATTGACTTGAATTTCTTGTTGATCAAGTTTTATGATGATACTGAATTATAAATAGAATATGTGATGGAGATATACTCATAACATTCTTTAACTTTGTGAGGCCTTTGCATAGTAGAATATAAGATTTATTGAGTATTACATTGTGAGACATAGCAATGTCAAAAGTTGGAAGAATGAAGTTGGGATCACAAGGTATGGAAGTGTCCTTACAAGGACTTGGTTGCATGAGTATGTCTACTTTCTATGGTCCTCCTAAACCTGAATCCGACATGATTGCTCTCATCCATCATGCCATTCAATCTGGTGTCACTTTTCTTGATACTTCTGATGTCTATGGACCTCACACCAATGAAATCCTTCTTGGAAAGGTTATCACTTTCTCTTACCATTTTAGCTTTTCTTTTCATTACCTTTTTTTTTTGTTTTGATGTAAAAATTTATGGGTATTGCAATTTGGTTTTTGTTGCTGCATTTATGAGTATGAATGAAATTGAAATATATATTCTGTGTGATTTGATGAATTGTGAAAACTGTGGAATAGGCTTTGAAGGGGGTGAGAGAGAAAGTTCAATTGGCTACTAAATTTGGAGTCAGAGTCAGGGATGCGAAATTTGAGATCTGTGGTGATCCAGCTTATGTGAGAGAAGCTTGTGAAGGTAGCTTGAAGAGACTTGATATTGATTCTATTGATCTCTACTATCAACATCGTATTGATACTCGTATTCCAATTGAAGTCACGGTTCGATTCTTTTCCTTACTCTTTTGATTTGATTTTGCAATAACAATATGTGATGTCCTGAACTTTTTTGGTTTTCTTTTTAAGATTGGAGAGCTCAAAAAACTAGTTCAAGAGGGAAAAATAAAATACATCGGTTTGTCTGAGGCGTCAGCTGCAACAATCAGAAGAGCACATGCTGTTCATCCAATAACAGCTGTGCAGTTGGAGTGGTCATTATGGTCAAGAGATGTCGAGGAAGAAGTTATTCCAACTTGCAGGTGTGATATTTAGTTTGCAATTATATGAAGCACTGACATAGACACTGAACATGACACTAGATCGATTGCATATACATAGATATAACTTGTAACTTGATGAGTTATGACTTTGTATCTTAGGGAGCTTGGTATTGGAATTGTTGCATATAGTCCTCTTGGGCGAGGATTCTTTTCATCAGGAACAAAGTTGCTTGAGAACTTGTCACAGAATGATTACCGGAAGGTTTGTTGAAAACATACTTTTACATAACATCATTTCAATTACTGGTTCATTTTCTTAATCAACTCACTTCCCCTTATGTTACAGGATTTGCCTCGATTTCGACCTGAAAACCTACAGCAGAACCAAACTATATTTGACAAAGTTAATGAACTGGCTGCAAAGAAAGGGTGTACTCCACCTCAGCTTGCACTAGCCTGGCTTCATCACCAAGGAAACGACGTGTGCCCGATACCTGGAACAACAAAAATTGAGAACTTGAATCAAAACATAGGTGCTTTATCCATTAAACTGACTCGAGAAGAATTGGCAGAAATTGAGTCCTTAGCAGATGCTGTTAGGGGTGATAGATATGGGGATGATATAAGCACATGGAAGGATTCTGATACTCCACCACTCTCTTCATGGAATGCTGCACAATGAAGTGATTTTCTTGCATAATGCTCATATTAGTATTGTACCTTTGGTGTTTTATGCTGTTGCTTTCAAGAAATAAATCTGTATGAGTTTCCTTTTCAGTGGATTTGTTTGTATAAATCAATGTTTTAAAAATCTATCTTTTATAGTTTCTAATATTTGATGTGGCTTTTTAAGTTGTGTGAACTCTAAGATGACTCCATATAAACGTTGGTTTGATTCTATACAGGATTTTATCTATTATTTTTAGCTTCTAGTATTAAGTTACATTAACAATATATACTAATTAAAATATTAAAAAAATATAATATACTTTTTTTAATGTAAATTATGTATTATTTTAAGAAATAGTATTATTTTCGAAAATAAATATTACTACAATAATATTTTTAAAACATTTATAGACAATGGCAAATAAAATAAAATAAAATAACTACAAGAGTTTCGATTCAAATCCAAATAAAAGTCATACGCATTTAAATTTAACTAAATCTTAGAGACACTATGAAAACATTGTTATTGATTAAATAATTATTATAATTTAAAATATATAAAATATAATAACTGATCGTACCTGATCAGAGTTGGACCGTCACAGCTGGCTCGAACTGAATTTGAAGGAGATGGGGGTACTTGCAAGATACTCCGATGATAAAGTGAGATATGGAATGAGCAAGCGAACTGTATGTAGGTGTGAATGAATGAATGAATACTTGACTCTCTTGAAATAGAGGGTATTTATAGCCCCCAGCGCTGGGCCAAAGTCCCTTTATTAGGTTGACCAAACATGTCCAACAAAGGGACTGCCAGGTTCTACGTGGAGTAGTGGAAACCTGCACGTGGTCCCCTACCTGAATGATGCTCTCTGCAGAAATAGGGAGGTGAAGACGCGGTCTTCTCGGGACCCTGAGGACTCCGAGATATTCGGAGAGGTTGAGTCTGCCCTACGAGGAGTGTGTTCGAGCAAGGCCTGGATTGAGACGTTCCTCGTCTGGGATGTCCCTTGTCGGGGACTCTCTTCACGGTCACCGGCGGGCACAATTGTGTTCGACGACACCCATGATCGAGGCGTGTCGGGGATTATAATACTCAGTATGGTATGTTGTAAAGCTTAGATTGGGCCTCGCTGGTAATTGGGCCACGGGCAGGCCCAGTCCAGAACAGGAGCCCCCCAAGTTTGATTGGAACAATATGTGATGATTTTAAGTTTTTCCGTTTTCTTTGCTAGATTGGAGAGCTTAAGAAACTTGTTGAAGAGGGAAAAATAAAATACATCGGTTTGTCTGAGGCCTCGGCCGCAACAATCCGGAGAGCACACGCAGTTCATCCAATAACAGCTGTGCAGTTGGAGTGGTCATTATGGTCAAGAGATGTCGAGGAAGAAATAATTCCAACTTGCAGGTGTGATATTTAGTTTGCAATTATATGAAGCACTGACATAGACACTGAACATGACACTAGATCGATTGCATATACATAGATATAACTTGTAACTTGATGAGTTATGACTTTGTATCTTAGGGAGCTTGGTATTGGAATTGTTGCATATAGTCCTCTTGGGCGAGGATTCTTTTCATCAGGAACAAAGTTGGTTGAGAACATGTCACAGGATGATTACCGAAAGGTTTGTGGAAAACATGCTTATTAAGAAATTCATTTCAAATACTTACCTTATCAACTCTCTTAATGTATGTATGTAATTCTGTTGCAGCATATGCCTAGATTTCAACCTGAAAACCTGCAGCAGAACCAAACTATATTTGACAGAGTTAATGAACTGGCTGCAAAGAAAGGGTGTACTCCATCTCAGCTTGCACTAGCATGGCTTCGTCACCAAGGAAATGATGTATGCCCGATACCCGGAACAACCAAAATTGAGAACTTGAATCAAAACATTGGTGCTTTATCTGTCAAACTAACACCAGAAGAAATGACAGAAATTGAGTCCTTAGCAGATGCTGTTAGGGGTGATAGATATGCCGAGGGTAGAAATACATGGAAGGATTCCGATACTCCACCACTCTCTTCATGGAAAGCTGCATAATGAAGTTATTTTCTTGCATAATGCTCATACCTTTGGTGTTTTATGCTGTTACTTTCAAGAAATAAATCAGTATGAGTTCCCTTTTGAATGAATTTGGTTGCATGGACTAATGTTTTAAAGATCAAACTTTATATTTTAATTGTTTCATAAACCGGCATTGTCCCTGGAATCCTTAATACTAATTTTATATTCGAAAACGGCCCTTACGTTTGAAATCTGTAGTTAAATCTTGCTTAAACGCTGATAATTTTTTGGATGTTTCCAGTTTAAATTCTTCAACTGTCATATGTGTTGGGTATAACAATAATAAGTGAGTTAATGAGGTAGTTAAAAAATGCACTGATATAAATTTCCCACTAGGGGTATCAATGGCATCCTAATTGAACTATCTTTCAATTGGATTGGTTTCATTTGTGGCATGACTTCAAATATAGCATTTACATACTGTTGTGAAATACGATACTTTTGAAATAAAGTATAAGAGGGTTCTTCAAGACAAAAAACCCGCAAGGATAGAAAATATGGAAAAACACAAAGAACAATAAGGTTTGGTTATAACTGCTATTCTTTACTTTCTATTTAATCAAGATTACAAGTGTTACAAGAATAACAAATAACTTTCTCACTCTAAATTCAGATTTGCAGTATACAATGATGAGAGACTAGTATGCTATTTATAATAAATCTAACATACTAAACTAATGGGCTTTTTCACAAATACTCATTACAAACTAACTTAGGGTACAAACTAACTTAAACAATTGGACATTACAAACAGGCCCAATTCAAAATAATAACAACCATAGCATTTCGACACCCACATACTAGAACACACTTCGACTACAGTATGTAGGTCTTCGACACCAGCATGTGATCAAATTTTGAAGGCATGTATAAATCTTGTCAAACTAGAAGCTAATCTTCGACCCAATAGAGTTCGATCCAATATCTCACAAATCTCCACCTTGGAACAAACTCTAATATCAGAGAACATACTAGCTTTCTTCATGCAACTTTATCAACTGCATACAGTGGAAAAACTTGCAACTGGGCAATGTCTTGGTGATCATCAGCAGCATTGTGATATGTCGAAACCTTCAGCACTTGGACTTCTCCATGCTCGATTACCCCTCTGACAAAATGCAGCCTCACATCGATGTGCTTGGATCGCTCATGATAGGCTGAGTTCTTCGACATGTGTATTGCACTTTGACTATCACATTTAAAAGTGATAACTCGACCTTGAAGTTTCAGCTCCTTAGCAAAATCTTCAAGCCACAATGCTTCTTTCACAGCTTCAGTGAGGGTGATATATTCTGCTTCAATAGTTGATAACGCAACAACCTTTTGAAGTATCACTTTCCAACTAATTAATGTGCCAAACATAGTGAAAACATATCCAGAAATAGATTTTCTAGAATTCATACAACCTGCATAATCAGAGTCGACATATCCTTCGATTATTTCTTTACTATCTTCAGCCAAGGCTCCACCATAAATTAAAACTATGTTCAGAGACTCATTTATGTACCGTAAAATCCACTTCAATGCTTGTCAGTGAACCTTTCTAGGATTCGCCATGTACCTGCTTACAAAACTTACTGCATATGCTATGTCGGGTCTAGTACAGACCATAACATACATCAAAGAACCCACTATGTTAGCATATGGGATGCTATTCATATAAGTTCTTTTGATCTTAGTACTGGGACATTAATCTATACTCAGTTTGAATTGAGGTTTTGTTGGAGTCGCAACAGGCTTTGAACTCGACATACCTAATTTGTCGAGACTCTTCCGTAGGTATGCCTCTTGAGATAAGTACAATTTCGACTGCTTTCTATCTCTTCGGATGTTAATCCCAAGAATCCTAGATGTAGCTCCCAGATCGTTCATGTCGAACTCTTTATTGAGTTCAGCCTCCACCCTCATTACATCTTTGATATTGTTTCTTGCTATGACAATATCATCAACATAAAGCAACAAAATAGCAATGAATTATCAAGTCGATATCTAAAGTAAACATGTGGTCGAGCTGACTTCTAGTGAAACTTATGTGTGCCAATAACTTGTCGAATCTCATATTCCATTATCGATGAGATTGTTTCAGCCCATATAAAGATATATTTAACTTTCACACATAATCTTCCTTCCCCTTTTCGACATACCCTTCAGGTTGTTTCAAAGGATTGTCTCATCTAGATCACCATACAAGAACGCAATCTTCGCATCCATTTGTTCCAGTTCAAGGTTGAACTGTGCCACCATGGCAAGCAACATTCGAATGGACATGTTCTTCACAACAGGAGAAAACACATCATTAAATTCGACACCTTCTTTCTAAGTGAAACCCCTTGCAACCAACATTGCCTTGTATCTTTTTGATGCCACTCCTTCGATTCCTTCCTTAACTTTGAAAATCCATTTACAGTTGACTAACCTGACTCCAGCAGGTTTCTTGATCAATTCCCATGTGTTGTTATCATGAAGAGATTTTATCTCATCATCCATGGTCTTTAGCCATTCAGTCTTATTTCGACTCCTCATAACTTCCTTATGTCTCAAGGTTCTTCGTCTAGAACCTCACTTGCAGAGATTAAGGCATAAGTTATAAGATCTGCATACCCAAGTCTCTGAGGTGGCTTGATGACTCTTCTCGTCCTATATCTTGCCAATAAGTAGTCATCGATAGTTTCCTTAATTTCCTCAGTATCTTCTGCTTCTTCTTCGACTTTATTTGGGATACGTAATTCAACATCAACATGCTCCACCTCAACAGGAATCTCTCCATGTTCCAGCTCTTCATCAGATATTTCTGCACTTCGATCAACATCATCAGTTTTCTTTAAAGTCGTTTCAGCTTCATTGCAAACTACATCTCGACTGATGATAATCCTCTTGTGACTTGGCTCTAGGCACCATGGACTATAAGCTTTAACTCCTTTAGGGTATCCCATAAACATGCATTTAAGAGCTCTAAGGTTAACCTTGTCTTTCCTAATGTGAGCATAGGCTACGCAGTCAAATACTCTCAATTTGTCGAGATCTGGTGGATATCCCGAACAAACTTCTTAAGGTGTCTCCATATCTAACACAATCGAAGGACATCTGTTTATCAGATATGTTGTTGTCGAAATAGCCTCATCCCAGAACACCATCTTTAACCCAGTACTAGTCAACATGCATCTAACTCTCTCCAAAATAGTTCGATTAAACCTTTCAGCCAAACCATTTTTTTGTGGAGTACCTGCAGTAGTTTTGTGACTTGCACTACCAGAGGTAGCACAAAACTATCGAAAGCCTCATTGTAAAATTCAAGGCCATTGTCGATTCTCAACCTCTTAACCTTTCTTCCAGTTTAATTTTCGACCAGAGTCTTCAAACTTTTGAAATTCTCAAAAGTTTCATTATTAGTCTTCTGGATGAATTCCCATAACTTTCTAGAATAATCATCTACTATGGATAGAAAATAATTTGCAAACCTGAATGTGATGGACATCTTGCAGGCCCCCAAAGATCAGCATAGATGTAATCAAGGGATCCATGTGTTCTTGTTTGCCTTTGTTGATTTTCACTCTACAATATTTTTCAAGTACACAGGGTTCACAAAACTTCATCTTTTCGACTTTGTCTCCTCCAAGCAAGTTTTGTTTCCCCAATTCAGTCAGACCCCTTTCACTAACATGACCCAATCTCATGTGCCAAGAAGTCTCTCAGATGGTGGTGGGTCTTCAACCATTGGTCTTTCCTCCTTTTCAGACTCTGAACCTGAATGATCTAATGAACCTTCTGATTCTAGTCTAACTAATTGAGCTTGTATGCGCCTTGCGTAAAAGGTCCTTTCAATTTATGCGTCAAAAGGAAATTCAGATGAGGGTTTTTCTCGCATACAAAGGTTAGACACAAATCAGTAATAACGAAAAATATAAAAATAACAGAAAATAAAATTTTTAAATGTAGAGCAACAAAATTCTAATTAAACTACAATTAAACTCTATAACTTTGCAGTCCCCGACAACAGCGCCAAAAACTTTATGGGAAAAATAGCAAGTGTGTTATTTTTCCCCTTGTAATAATAGGGAAATTCTTAGGATTCAAGCACTATGGTACAAATATACATGTTAGACTCGTATCACTGTCACATTATTCTGAACTTCCTACCCTCGAACAACCATCTCTTTGTCTCTATATACTATTCTCGATCTCTATGAAATTCAAGCTCTTGAGCAAAACAAAAAATTTGGTCCAAATTTGGGAAAGACTTCAACTCATAGATTTACACAGTAATTATCATAAGAGGAAAGACTTCAACTCGTAGATTTACACAACAATTAGCATAAGAAAAGAAGTAAGAAAAATAGTAAAGTGAAAACCCCTGAAACTTGAACTAAACATTGACCCCAGTGTTTTAGAACAAGCGCGAGGAAGGTAACTCACAGAGGAAATGCAACACCAGCTGCTACCTCCTAGCTTTCACCAGTAAGGCACCCTTTTTATTTCCTACAGACAAAATGAGACAAACACAAAAAGAAAAACTAAGTTATTAAAAGTGTGGGTTGCCTCCCACAAAATTCTTCGTTTAATATCACATGGCTCGATGGTTCATCCCCTTTTGGGGGATACTTCTTCTTCAACACCTTGTTGCTTGTCTTTTCTGCAATCCAAAACTCATTTAAATCATTAGTATGGCCCACTTTGTGCTTCAGGTCACTTCCAACTTCCATCTCCTCACCATGGTGTTGCTTCTTTTTCTTTTTTGACTTTTTAGCTTAAATTGAGAATTTTTGTTGATGCCACCTGAGAGATTCTGCCTGACACTTCTTTTGGTAGTGATTTTGAAATTTTGTTTTCTCCTTCAACTTTGATCATACCAACTGAAGATTGTTTCTTTCCACCTGTACCCTGCTTCTTGATCTCCAACACTTTCAAGGTTATCCCTTCATCAAATTATTTTAATGTCAGATTACTTGTCTCTATATCAAAATTGCACTGACTAGTCA